ATGTTTATTTAAAGATTTAAAACGTAGCCTAGTGTATAACTAGGAAGATATATATGTATATATATATACACACACATATATATATATATATATATATATATATATATATATATATATATATATATATATATACTAGTATAGTACCCCGCGCGATGCGGCGTGCGAGATAGTTTGATACGGCAAATAGTTTTAATGCGGCGGTTAATTTCTTTTTCATGCTAGATAGTTTTTTTTTAGTTTTAGTGGAATTTTTGTGTTATATAGTTCATTTTGTCGATTATTTTCTAGCTAGGTATGTAAATGTGGAGGCAGAATAGTTTCTTTTATGATATCATCTATTGTACTGGTTTTATTTTACGATTAGGTTAAATGTAAAAGTATATGTAGCGGTCTTCAATGAAGGGTTTATGAATAGGTTTGATTGGTAGTTAGTTTCCGGTCTCCATTTGGTGATTAGTTTCGATTCCAAGAACGGATTCTCTTTTCTTTCGGAAAATGTGTTATTGAAAAGAGATGCAATGCAACTATAAATACTTTTGACTGTCGGGTGACACACGAAACGTTGGTTTTATAAGTTTATTTTTGTTGATTAGAGAAGTCTTATTTTATATATTTTCATTTTACAACACATAAAGAAAAGTGAAAATTATACGAATTCTCATCATCGGTTATATAATGAAGTCGTAAAGACATCTAACAAAATTAATGAGACATTTTTTAATTATACTTATTTTCATCATGGGTTATATTTTGAAGTCGTAAAGGCGTCTAACACAATTGGTAAAGAAACTTGAATATAACTTTCGTTTAGTATTTCTAACCTCTTAAATGTTTAGATTCAAGTTAATACTTGCATTATTATTTGCAAAATCTTGTTTTTCTTTTGATATTAATTTACCAAGATTGTTTACGGTTGATCTCACATACCCATTAATTGTAAGCACTCACTTTTCGTTTGATTTTGTGTCCCCGTTAATTGTAGGTACTCGCTTTTCAACTGAAGAAGCTAGTATGAGGTGAGTAGTCACTTTTCACCATTTGTATAAGCTACACTATTAGGTGATGAACTAAGCAGTCACTTTTCATAAATGTACTTTGTTAAAAGTTATAATCACAAATTTATATTAATAATCCTCATTTCTCATTCATTGATAATCATCTTTATTTTTAATTAATTGTTGTTTTGAAACAAAATATCAAATTATATACAAATTTCACAGTTATACACATTAAATGAAACTTGTAACACCAAATATTAATATACAAACGCACGACAACCTTACATACATGAACACAATTAAACTTATTTTAAACAACCAAAGTGTATAAAACTTTTATTTCATCGTTAAATACATTTACCAGGTAAAAAGATGGTTACATTTTAAATGAAACAAAAACAAAATACTTTCTGACCTCTGGATCTATTAATCTATTACTCTAACCTTGTAAAAACTTAAATAAAAAAAGTTTTGACATGCTAAAGAAAACATTCAAACACACGGACACATATAGAAACTTACATAAACTGTTAGCAAAATTTATTATAGAAACATAGAAGTGTTGGAGCTCAAATTTTTGAAGAAGATCTAATCAGAAACTAAAAATTCAAGATCCAAACAAAAAAATAAACCTAACTCTTACTTTCTTCTTGATTCCTTTACAATCTGAACATCCATGTTCATCTTGCTGATCCATCATCTTTTCCATTGCTAAATAAAAAATTAAAAAGAATACATACATGTAACAAATAAATATAATCAACCTACTTAGATAACACAAATAGAAGTGAAGATAGCAAAGTTAAATGGAGGTGAGTTGTGGCAGTGTTGAGCTTAAGATCTAAGGTTAGTGACAACTGTGGTGGTGGATTGTGTTTCAGAAGGTTTGTTGACCAAAAAATATATACCTTTATTTGAGCTAAAAAGCAAAAGAACCTATGGAAGAACAATCAAACATGTGATATTAGGAAACAAAAAGGAAGGAAAATCAAAATCAAACCCAGGAAAGCAAATAACAATGTTAGACAAAGCAAAGAATCAACCCTGCTTGACAACTTGGTCTATTCCCTGCGACTATAGATGCACCAGATTAAAAACCCAAGTAAGTAAATTTTGAATTTAGGGCTCGTAAAAGAGGGGGCAAAAAAATTAAACAAAAGGACGCAACAATTTTTCGTTCACCTTTATGTTCCCCTTCGTCCCTTTGATTTTTGTTCCTACAACTCCTTTCAGTAAACTTCCCTAAAACCACAATATCTGTAACAAAAAAAGAGATCTAAGTCCATCATTTACAGGTTAAACTGATAGAATCTGAATGTTAACTTTCCTTCTTTAATTCTGAGTTTTATCAAATGAATAGTATAAGATGACGAAAAGGACAAAGACAAAATATAATAACAAAGGCTTTATAACACAGATAGAAATCTGAAAGCTCTTACCAGAACAGGGGTGTTTGGTGTTCATTTCGAGGAAATATATGAGATTTAGGCAGATATGTTTCTTTGTAGTTAGGGTTTCGCACCACCACCCTCAAATCATACTAAGAGAACATGGAAGATCTGAGCGGTGAATCTTTAGGGTTTTGATAGTAGCAGACAGAAAGATCGAGAGGGAGTAGAGATGGTGGTGACTGGAGCGTATTCTCTGGTATCAAAATTTGAAATGTAGAAGATTCTAGGAGAGTGTGAAGGTGTTTGTAACCATTGGATCGTTGAGAAGGATCGACAGATATACTTAGACCCTGCTCGATCCATGTGATATCCAGTCACCATGGTTGCCTTTTCCGCATTCATTTGCCCCCTATTTTTTTTATGCATCATTTAGTTGTAAAGAGAGCTGCATAAGTTGTCTTTAAGACAATTTTTTAAGAGGTAGCTTTATTTATTGTACATCATGCATAATATGTTGTGTTTAAGACTAAATTATGTATGCTTTATAAGATGGTATAGATATATACATATATATATATATATATATATATATATATATATATATATATACCATCTTATAAAGAGTATATAAGATGGGTCCCACCATTTTAAGACAATGTCTTAAAAAAAACAAGGAGAATGGTTGTGAGCCGTTTGATTAAAATGAAGGGTTTGATTAAGATTAAGAGTAAAACATCACATGGATCGTCACACAGATTGATGACCTGGCTCATATTATAAAGATAGTAAAACTCATACAAAACCGATCCCCATCTACCATTAACTTCTCTCATTCTCTTTTTCAATTTCGTAATGCTAGAAACCCTAATCTCTACATCCTTTAGCCGCCATCACTAGCACCTTAATCACACCATCATCGACTCACTTCGATATCAACTGATACAACTTGCACCGCCGCTCTTATCCATCATCGTCGCCTCCAAGATCTCTTACTCTCCCTTCGTTTATGTCTCTCTCTACATTTCTTCTAACACGACCGCCTCCTTCTTCGGCTTCCAGCTAGTTAAACACCGTCACTAAAAGGTTTGATGGCCCCCATCGTCTTCTTCATCGCTATCAATACCATATGATCCTCCCCAAACAGAAACTCTAGATGTGGATACAACATCAAAGCGTTGTTGTCCTAACCACTGTCGCACCAGAACATCTCCGTACATGGCGGTCTCTGCTTCTTGAAACCATATCCTCATTACACCCACAATCCTTTTTCATCTTTCCTTAAATCCTAGAAACGAATTTCTACATCATCGAGGTCTTTCTTTTTATCCTTCTAGATTGATGTATGTTTAACTGTGTGTGGGGGTGTGTTTGTATATTGATTTGTCGATCTGGTTCTGTTTACTAACCCTATAAATGGTTTTTTTGTTCTAGATCTTTTTTCATTTGTTGCAGATTTAGATGTTGGATATATTTCTATCTGATTGCAATTTGAGTTATGAGTTTTCAAATTTTTTATCAAACCGATAAAGGGTCATCTGTTTGTTCACCATTAATATTTGTTCTTTTTGTTCATCTTTATGTTTAGAATGAAGACCTGTAGCTACAAGCTGACATGGGAATTATTCGTTACAGGAAAAGCAAGTGACGATAAAGAGAGGAACTGTAGTTACAAGCTGACATGGGAATTATTGGTTGCAGGAAAAACAAGTGACGATAAAGAGAGGAACTGATGATTATTGTATAAAGTGAAATACACCTTGGATATTTGATATAGACGAAGATAGTTGAAGTTCTGAAAAGACTTGCAGTGGTTCTTGTTGGAATTTTTATTTTACTTACTATATATGTACAATTATTAATTCATGTCCTTTAATTTTTATTAGACTGCTCTTTAAGTTTTATAAGATGTTTGAAGTTTACAGTTTGGGTGTGTGTTTCTTATTAAACCAAAAATTCTCATATTTTCAATGTAACTTATTTGTTGCTCTAATTTGGTTTTAGTTTTTAGGATTACTATTATTATATGTGGGTTTTGATTGCTTAAGAGTGATATTTATGTTTTATATAACTTATTATTTGATTTGTGTACATCGAAATCTTACAAGTTCATACGATCCAACAAACTTTTGTATATTTATGAGATTCAAACATGTATTTGATTTTGCGCTTTCTCTTATTTGGACCCACTTTATCCTCTGATATATATATATATATATATATATATATATATATATATATATATATATATATATATATATATATATATATATATATATATATATATATATCTTTTCAAACTTGAATAGAATTGGAATGGGTTTTTGACACTGTAGCATATCAATGTTTGGTCAATTTGCACATTTACTCATTTAAGTTTTTTTTGTGCTCAATTGATCCTTAATGTTACTAACTACCGGCTAATTAAAGGAACGTGAGGAAATACTACCGGTTGAAGGGTCATCGCTGACGTGGATTCGCTTATGTGGACAAGCATTTGACCATGTCATCTGTAACGTGTGAACCTTCCTTAATTGAACCTTATATTGAACCATCGAGGATACATTGTTACCCCAAATTAGGTCAATGCCTCCCTTCCGAAACTCTACACTCAATGGATATAAACAGAACAATCTCTGCCTCTTCCAGTCGATCAATCAAGCTCCTGTGTGTCGGAAACGTTCGTGATGATGATCCCTGTCCACCTTGTGATTGTCAAGACGCAATAAGCGTGGAAAGGACTACCTGGACCGACGATAATGTAGCTCACAGGTTTTGGAACTGCAAAAACTCTTTGGTGAGTATTCATTTTGTTTACTAACACCGTATTTGTTATTTTGAGCTGGAGATGTACACATTTTCATTAATTGCAACCCTAACCCTAACTCTGGTTTTCCCTTGTAATCAGGCAGCTGAAGGTCTGAAATGCAAGTTCTTTATGTGGAAAGACAAAGAAATGGAGGTGGGTTACTACAAAGAACAGCTTCGCAAGATGAGGTTTGAGCTGAAAAGGAAAGAAGAGTTTAGTGAAGTTTCAAAGGTTCAAAAGAAGTTGGTTAAGCTGCAGCAAGCTATGGAAGCAGATAAGCAAGTGTTTGAGACACATTTGATGGAGTTGACGAAGCAAAACAGAATGTTGAAGTGTGGGATCTTTGTTATGGTAATTGTAGTCATTACCATGTGGTTGAAATGGACTTGAATTGTGATCAAATAGGTGTTTATGGTTGATGCTATATAATTCCAATCAGTTTTTTGGAAAGTGTATGGGTGGATGTTAAAAAGTTATTAGCTTTTTTGGGAAGTGTATGGGTGTATGGGTACATGGTCAATGTTATATCCTAGTTGTAATGTATAGTCAGGTTTTTGGTTGAATGCTTGTTTGATCAGTGTGTGTGTATGGGATGTTAGATGTAATGGGATGTAGATGTAATGGAATGTTGATGTAATGGGATGGCAGTACATGGGAACAATTTTAATGACTTTGTGTTGATTCAATGAATGATATGGAATATCCTAGTTAAGATATACATTTCTGAATTTTATAATATGCATGTGCTCCTTTTATAAATTAAAGTGTGGGTACCACATTGTCGGCCATAAGGAACTCACTTTGTCCATTTAAAAGTGGATTGTCTTTAGAGTTCTGTGCAGGGGTATATATGGAAAAGTATGGGTATATGGACCACTAACCACATGTGGTATATAAGGACATAATCAATCATAATTTTAAATTATCTATATATGCAAATATATTCCCTTCCCATGCACTTTAACCAGACAAGTCCTTGCCATGCATGCAACTTCAAATTAACACAACAAAAAGCTCAAAATAACAATCAACTTAAGTAACACAAAATGCACATCACATAAACCAACATAGTTTCATACAAACTAGCATAGTTAATAGCAGTTTCATAAAAACATCAACAATACACCAAAACACATCATTTAAGACTACATACCATGTTCATATCACATAAACCAACACTTAAAGTTATTCTAGAGTAACAGGTTTAGCTTCTGAATTCCCGGGTGCATCATTTCCACCAACTTTGTTGCCCAGTTTCAACTTGGTAATCCTTTCAGATTTCTTCCTCCTGATTTTCTTCAACAGGGTTGCAAGTGGTGTTTCTCTAGCCTCCTGTTCTTGCACATGAACCTGACTAGGTTCTCCATTAGCTGATGCATCAAACTCCAAAGGTGTGAGTTCCACCTCATCATAGTTGTGTTGCACATGCACCTCATTGACTGCTTCTGCACCATCATTTACTGCTCCTCCATTATTGACTGCTTCTCCACCATGAGTTACTGCTCCTCCATCATTGACTGCTTCTCCACCATCATTTACTGCTCCTCCATCATTGACTGCATTAGATTGATTACTTTCATCCTCATTGAGAGCTTCAGCTACACCCTGATTGACCAATATGAAACATTATTAGAAATTTAAAAAGAAATTGTAAAGATTAACCATTTAAATACTTATGTACCTATTTTGTTTTTCTTTTAGCTTTGGTTTTAGGAGGCCTTGTTAAAGTACAAGCTCTTTTGTTGTGTCCTTCAATCTTACAAAGACTACATTTTTGTTTTTTACCAGCCTTGGATACCTTCACCTGCTCTTTACCTTTGTTTTGTGTTTGGGTAGTTGTCTTTGATTTTTTACTTGAGTGGTTTGGGGTTTCTGTTGCATCCCTTTTCCTTTTAGTTGCATGTCTCCAAGGCATAGCACTACGAACAAGAGGTAAAGGTAGGGTGTAATCAGTTGCAGGCCACAAATTACTTCCATTCATAGGTGCTAACCTAAACTTGTAAGCCTTCATATAAGTGATGCTACTAAACATTTTATCCACATATGAATCTACATCCATATTCATAAAACTAATAGCTGCAACAGAATGGACACAACCGATTCCATTAAGCTGCCATATCCTGCATGAGCAAGTTCTTTCTTCAAGATCCACTTCCTAAGCATCTGTAGTTCCTCTTACTTCAAACTGATTTAGTCCACTAGGTAAGACTTGGTAATGTCTTAGACCCTTCTTAATGTCATTCACTATTTCTCTAATTGTTGGACAAATTTGGTTGCCCCATCCTAGACCCTTGCATTTTTTCTTGAACACCCTCTCCATCATATACATACTCAACTCCTCTAGCATGGTGATAATTGGTTTCTTCCTAGCATCAACAATTACAGCATTAAAACTTTCTGACATTCCATTCTCCACAGCATCACAACATCTTCCTGGTTGGAAGTAGACCCTTGACCATGTTTTGGGGTCTTTTTCCATCAGATACTGATGAGCACTTGGGTCTAGCACTTCAAGCTCTTTCATGGCAACCTTAAAATCTACCTCTGTTGTTGCTTTACATGCCTTCCAGAAAATGCTTTCATATTGAGCACCACTATACCTTTTCCTAAGGTTTTGGCTAATATGCTTGGCAGTATGCCTATGCTCTACATAAGGAAGGAGTTCTTTCACAACCTCAATCAAACCCTGTTAACAAATTCTAAATATAGTGAATAAGGACGCAAATAGATAGGAAAATTAATTACAAACAACTAAATTACCTTGTGTTGATCAGATATTACACTGTATCCATAGCCCAAATTAAGTCCTAAGTCATCTATGAGTAAATCCAAAAACCACCTCCAATTTTCCTTATTCTCCACACATACTACTACCCATGCAATAGGATAAATCCCATTGTTTGCATCCCTTCCAACAGCACATAATAACTCCCCTTTACAGATCCCTTTAAGGAAACAACCATCTAAACCTATTATCTTCCTGCATCCCTCCTTCCACCCCTTCTTCAATGCATCAAAGCAAGCATAGAACTTAGTAAAGTAGTTCTTCCCATCTGGCATATGATTTACATCAAGCTTCACAGTGCTACCTGGATTTGATCTCCTAATCTCTTCTACATACGACCATAACTTTGCATAATGTTCAACTAGGGTGCCATTTATTAGTTGGAGTGCATATTTCGTAGCTCTCCTGCATTGACCAACACTAACATGAATGCGAAACTTCTGCGACACAGCTGTTCTTAGCTTTCTAACACTCATCTTTTGTCTAAGTAAGAACTCTCTTGTATAATGACTCCCTATCCAAGCATAAGTGACCATGGACCCTAACTTATAGTTCCTTGCACATTTGTGGACTGGCTTTAAAGACTTAATTTGGAAGCTTGCTTCATCACTCATCCAAGATGCCCACAACCTAAATGAGCACTCACCCTTGCAACACTTAACCAACAATCTTTTCCTATCATTTTTCTCAAAGCAAAGTTAGTACCCATTCGCAACAGCATAGTTGCATAACATCGATTTTAATTGAGATGGATCTTTGAACCTCATACCAAGTATTGGGATCTGCTTTTTCCATGGAACTAACTCATTAAAAATGGAATGTTGTTGAGTTACATTGGCATCCACTTCATGCCCATCATGATCATTTATGTTGTTATTATTTCCCTCTTCATCTTCGCCACATAATCTATTTAGAAATTCATCACCCTTTGTCCTATTCATAGTTACTATGTCCTCATTAAAGTCCACATCCACATCTGTTAGGCTATCAATTTCGTCCTCATTCACACCACCATTAATGCAAGAATCATCTCCATCCTCCTCTTCTATTTTAGAACCAAACCAATCTTCTATTCCTTGACCATCATGGTCCACATACATACAAATTTTACCATCTGTCCCATATGCATGAAAAATGAAACCACCATAGTCTTCATCATTAGCGATAGCAGTTATCCCAGATATTAAGGGCTTACCTGGTTCACAATAGTATAACTTCTTTATACTTTCTTGCATGAACCGTTCGAGAAATGTGATACATTCACCGTATGTCAATCCAGAAAAATCGTGATCATTGAAAGTGAAATTGATACCATGGTTATACGAGAAAGGATTTCTAAGAAAAACACCTTTGAAGTTCAGCTCCACTATAGGGTAGAGTCCATCAAGGTTTGGCATCGAGATAGACATTGTGGGTTGGTTGACTGCTCACTGACTTCGATCGGAGAAAACGACTTCGAACCCTAGGTTTAGTGCTTCATATTCATTGTAGGATGAGAAAAAGAAAGAACGAAGGAGGAGTGTTCTAGCTAAATAAATGTGTTTATTTTGACCTCCAAATCCTACATGGATAAAATAAATGAATTATATTACGTAAACTTATTCCACCTAAGCAATATCACCCGTTGTTCCGTTTGCCGGGTGTATAAGGGGGTAATTAGCTGGTAGTTACTAACATTAAGAATCAATTGAGCACAAAAAAAACTTAAGTGACTAAATGTGCAAATTGACCAAACATTGATGTGCTACAGTGTCAAAAACCCAATTGGAATTGAATACTCCAATCCAATTATATGAAAGTTGGATGTTTTTTTAATATATTTGAAGAGTTTTCCAACTTTTACATTATTTCAGTACGTTGTATTTTGATATAGAATTGTATATTGTATTTTTTTTGGCTGATTAGTGTTTTATGCGGTTACTACCACGCTGTTTTTGGCTTTGGATATGATGGCACTTGAATATTTTAGGGGTTTAGTTAGTTCTTCATGAAGCCGACGTGTATTTCTTTGTCAAGATCAGTATACATCAGGGCTTTATTTTTTTAATTAAACATATTATAATAATTTATTTGTTGAAAAGCATGATGTTGTAGGATACAATCATAACTTCATTGATTTATCCAACAAAATGTGCTTATTATGTTATAAATTATATTTTTAACTTGTAATATCCGTAACTATGATTTATGATTTATGATTTATATTTTCGATTAACAAAGTTCGTCCATGTTATGCCAAATATAGATTATGTTCGAGGAGAATAAAAAAAATTGTATTTTGAATGATAAAACTTATAGACAATACAACTCATAATCTATACCTATTTTTTGTTAAAGCTGCTAAATATATCAACTCATGTAGAATGATGAGAAAAAAACAATGATAACCTATACATCAAGCTACACATTAATGAGAATGAATGTGACCGCTCGATAACCAAAAAAAAAAAAAGTGTTGTCTTAAAAGATACCGGGTTATCATGTGTAGTTGATTATAACCATGGATCGGCTAAAAAGATACCGGGTTAAAAAGATACCTAATTTTACCATTTAAACAACCATAATTAATTTTTGAAATACTTTTATTGGTTGAGATTCCATTGTTTTTCGAAAAAACTGATTACAAATAGTTGATTATAGGTTGACTTTTTATAAAATTAATGATAGGGTGTCTAAGGGGAGTCTTATTAGAAACACCCACTATAACTATTATTCATTTGGTGTTTTTTTTTTTTTTTTACATATTTTAATTGCATATAATCATATTAAAGTTTATCTGTTTTATACATATTTTAGTTTCATATAATAATATTAAAGATTTAAAGTTTATCATGTATATGTTAATATAAAATTATAGATTATAGATGTAATTTTATTATTAGGGAATATGACTTATCAAGGTAATTAACTTTTCGGTATATTCACATCTGGGTAACTATCTTTTTTTTTATATATGTAGGCAACAAACTTTTTGGAAGTGTTCACATATGACCATTATGACCTGCTATAGCAGGTTAAATCCTAGATGTGAACGATTTCAATAAGTTTGTTACCTAGATGTGTACAAAAAAAATAGTTACCCAAATATGAACAAAACGAAAAGTAAAAATTAAATTACATGAATGGTCCCTGTGGTTTGGGGGAATTTATAGTTTTGGTCGCTAACTTATTTTTTTAACTTAAATGGTCCCTATTGTTTATTTTTGTTGCGCGTTTGGTCCCCGTCTTACCTAAAAATACTATTGTGCCCTTATTAGTTTATTTTTTTTAATTAATTTTCTTATCTATGTATTTATTTTTTATATATTTATAAAAATTAATAGATCACACATATTTATATCTCCTCGGATGATCCCTATTATTTATTTTTTAATTAATTTAATTTTTTTTAACTCGGATTGTCCCTACTATTTAATTTTGTTACGAACTTGGTCTCTCTCTTACCTAAAAAGACTATTGTCCCCTTATTAATTTTTTTTAATTAGTTTTCTTGTTTATGTACTTATGCTTTATATGTTTAAGAAAAATTAGTAGACCTCACATATCTGTATCTCCTCACCATTCCATCTTTCATCATTCTCAACTTTTATCTATTTTTCATCTTTAGTGATATCGACATCTTCATCATCACTTCTTTTTTCGGTCCTTCAACTCCGTCGAATCAACACCAGAACCCACTAAAGATGAAGAGACAGTAGGTTATGGTGTTGGTTCGTCAGAGTTGAAGTACCAAAAAAAAAGACGGTGAAAACGTCGATGTTACTAAAGATGGAAAAGAAATAGAAGATTGAGAGGATCAGAGATGAAATGGTCAATGGTAAGACTCAAATTAAATTTCTCAAATGTGGTTTCAGGTTTACGGTGATGAGATACATATATGTGAGGTATATTAATTTTTTTTATAAATAATAAATACATAAATACGAAAATTAATTAAAAAAATTAATAAGGGAAAAATACTATTTTTAGATAACACAGAGATCAAACGTGTAACAAAAATAACAGTAAGGATCATCCGAGTTAAAAAAAAAATTAATTAAAAATAAACAGTAGAGATCATCCGAGGAGATACAAATATATGTGGTCTATTAATTTTTTTAAATATGTAAAAAATAAATACATAGATAATAAAATTAATTAAAAAAATAAATTAATAAGGGCACAATAGTATTTTTAGGTAAGACGGGGACCAAACACGCAACAAAAATAAACAGTAGGGACCATTTAAGTTAAAAATATAAATTAGCGACCAAAACCACATAGTCCCCCAAACCACAGGGACCATTCATGTAATTTAATTTTTAATTTTCGTTTTGTTCATATTTGGGTAACTATTTTTTTTTTGTACACATGTAGGTAACAAACTTGTTGAAAGCGTTCACATCTACGATTTAACCTGCTATAGCAGGTCATAATTGTCATATGTGAACACTTCCAAAAAGTTTGTTACGTAGATATATACAAAAAAAAAGATAATTACCCAGATGTGAACATAACGAAAAGTTAACTACCTTGATAAGTCATATTCCTTATTATTAACATGAAAGAGGAAAACACATATAATATAATTTTTATATACTTTTCCTTATCATCAATACTTCAACCCTATATCGTGGAATAATTTAGAAAAAAATATGGTTAATTTCTAATTATAGTTCAAACAATTGTTTTGACCAAATGCGATACAAAAAGCTAAAAGCCTAAAACATACAATACAAGAATATATTTATGACTAATTTATATTTTATTTAAGTAAAGAGCTTCAATATTGACCATATTGGTTGAGTGTTATCAGTTGCTTATTATTTGGTTATTTTTAAATAGAAAACTGGTTAAATATATAATATTAATTATTATATTGGTGTTTGTTTTGTATAATGTTTAATAGTTATCTGATTTTAATTAGGTTTCGTAATTATGTATTAAAATATATTTTGAAATAATAAAATAATAATATGTTTAGAAGATTTTAAAATTATAAAATAATGTCTTCAAAAAGTCATACGTAACTATTTACATATGTAATTTTATATTTGACAATTAATAATACTTATCATAATAAAAACAAAGATAAAAAAGATAAAAATAAAAATAAAACTCAAACGTATGAATAAATTTAAAATAAAATAAATATATACAAGAATAATTAAAAATAACTTAAAACCTATAACAAAAATACATAATAAAAATAGAATTTATCAGCTAGATAACTATTAATATTAAGATAAATCTTTAAAAAACTCGAATGGGTTAGTTATTCCGAGTTAAAGTTGGACATCAAAGCTATCTGTATAAATATAAAATTAAGGAAAAATGACTATTCAGGGTAATAAACTTTTGCGTTTGTACTCATTTGGTCCATTTCCTTTTTTTTTTTTTTTTTTTTGTATTCAATATACCATCGAACTTGTTGTTTATGTTCACCATAACCCTTTTGACCGGCTTTTGACCTGTGATAGTCGGTCAAAGGTTTATGGTGAATACAAACATCAAGTTCGATGGTATATTAACTACAAACAAAATGAAAGAGACCGAATGAGAATAAACTCAACAGTTGGTTACCCTCATGAGTCATTTTTCCTTTACTTATTTATAGCAAATCCCACGTCAACTCTTACTGATATTAATAACTTTATGAGATTCATTCTTGCTTCTCCTCAAAACATAACCCACGAAAGAGCACTATTTATACATGTACCACTTTTTAATGCACTTGAATATTTATTAGGGGAATCTTGACTAAGCAGGCGCATTTCATGACTGCATTTACATTTCCAATCGAATGATTTATTGTATCATGGATTCTAGACAAGTCTACAAATGAGTGGAATCGCAAGTGTTGTGATTTTTTAGTTTACTTAGCTTTAAGATCGAATTCATGGGATGAGATACAATATCAATATGTACAATATCATGTTGCTTTTGCAGACACATAACCATAATATACCTTGAAGTAAACGTTTTTGCTGATAAATATACCTCTCATACACAATCATATCCTTTTGAAGAGAGGTGTTGACAGCTAACCACAGTAAGCATAGCATAAGCCATGTTTTAATGAAGTTAGCACTCTGAAACGCTCTTTATATACGTTATAGTCAAAGAAAGTTGCAATCTTTGATAATTTTGCAACTTTAATTTCATTTAACTTTTTGAGGAAAATGACTCAGGAGGGTAACCGATTGTTGAGTTTGTTCTCATTTGGTCCATTTCCTTTTTTTTCGGTACTCAATATACCATCGAACTTATTGTTTATGTTCACCATAACCCTTTAACTGGCTATCACAGGTCAAAAGCCGGTCAAAAGGGTTATGGTGAACACAAACAACAAGTTCAATGGTATATTGAATACAAAAAAAAGAAAAAGGAAATTGACCAAATGAGTACAAACGCAAAAGTTAATTACCCT